ATGTTCGGAATCTTTAGGAATCTTTAGTTAAAGTTGAAGTAATTTTTTAAATTTCAACTGTTTTTCAATGTTTGACGCAAAAGTTGACTGAACATTGCATGAAAGTTTAAAATTTTTTAAACTCCCATGCAATGTTCAGTCAACTTTTACGTCAAACATTCAATAACAGCGGACACTTAAAGAACAACTTCAAGTTTCATGAGCTTCGCAACTAAAAATTCCGAAGGTTGCAATCAAGTTAATTTCAACTTTCAGGAAATTTTCGGTGCTGTTGGGGTTGAGTATAATTTTATTCCCCTCATGGCTGTTGAAGAATTTAATTTAAACTAAATTAAAAATTTCATTGCAATGTTTTAAATTTTCAAAGCGATTGAAATAAACAATACAAATATGCTTAAAAATTGTCTTTTGATTTTATGGATCTCGTTTCCTTACCTATACTTTTCGCGATTTAATGACTGTACCTCCTGCAGTGAGAGTCAACCTGGCCACAATTTCTACCCGCCGGGAAATTCAGTTAAAATTCTATGGCACAAATTTAGGAGACTAATTTTCAAGTTATAGAATTGTATTGACATTTGAAAAAGAATAGTCTTAAGAACAGCCTTAAGAAATATTAAAATAATAAAATCCTTGTATTTTTTGTCTATGTGTAACAAAATCCTGAGTCATAAAGACGCTTCTTCTCTCAATTGCATCAAGTATTCTGAAGATTCTTCAAAAATATTGCTCTATTGTTAATTTTCTTCAATATAATTTGAGAGAGGATTTCAATGTGCATTGTCTCACCTGAAACATTACACCCAATACCTGCGCGACCACACCTCTTCAGTCCCTAAAGAGAATAATAAAAGGTTTAACCTCTGACAAATTTAGACAAAAACTTAAAATTAACATAGAATATTTTCTTCTTCTCAATTCTAAATTGTGACCAAAGTTTAAATTTTACAAATCAAATTGTAAAACCGAGGGACGAACAACTGGTGAATTATGGTGAATCCTGAATTGTTAAGAATTATCTAAATTCTTCTATATTACCTCTGGAATTATATATATAACTTTGACAAACAATGGTTAACAATTTTTAAAGTATTAAATTATTAAATTAAATAAAAATAACTATAAACTGAAATATAAATAAAATCAACTAATTCATTTTTCTTCTTTAAAAACTACAAAATTTTTATCTTAATCATTAATTTTTAAAACTTATAGACATTGATATATAATATTTTTGATGCAAATATTTAATTGAAGAACAATTTTACAAAACTTAATTTAAATAAATTCTTACTTGAAAATTATAGTTTCTAAATCAACATTTGGTATTGAGTAATAAAATATTTTATAAAATTGTGTTTATTAAGAAAATTTTGCAAAATTAATTTACTAAATTTAAATGTTCTCAATTTCGAATTTCCTCTTTTTCCGGCAGACCCTCAATTTATTGTATGTAGGGTAGTGGCACCAGTGACAGAACATTTAAGAAAATGTATACTTCCGATATTTTTTACTTTTAATTGACATTCTTGAATTTCGTTTTAAACACATGCAATGAATAGCAAAATTTCTAAAGAATTTGAAGCCGCTATGATACAAATTTTATAAATATAACATAATATGTATCAAATTATAATCAAATATTGAAAAATGTCCATTTTACCAGTACAGTGAAAGTACGATGACTATAAAAAAATGAAAAAAAAAAAATGAAAAAAATGAAAAAAAATTTTATGACTATAAAAGAAGAGTTATATTTTCCAGCGAAAGAACATATCAAATTTTTATTAATACAATGTCTAAAAATAACAAAAATTATATGAAAAACGTTACAAATATTCTGAAACAATTTTGCAACTTACTATTATCCATATTTTCCAGATTACGCACCCAGAAATATTATTTATTGTACCTGAAACTTGTAACCTTTTTTCTGTTTATGCTTCATTCATTTGTCATGTTCATAATCCACCAAAACATTATTTTCAGAAATAATTTGCATATTGAATCTATTTTTTTATCATAAACTATATTTTGAAGAAATAAAGAACTAAAAAATATTTATTTTTTTTATACTGCTAAAAGTTATAATCACTGGTGCAACTATGCCCTATGCATAATATGTACATGTATAATTCTGTGGAAGAAAGGCATAACTGCATTTGTCATGATTTCGAGATAAATTAATTTTAATGTTCTCTCACTTCTGTCAATTCAGAAAATCAACAGATTTGTTCGGTCTTTTGCATTTAGTATTATTATTTAAAATATTTTCAAAATTCTTTTATAACATTTAATAAAACACACGATTTCATATAAATTTTGATAATTTTTCATCGGAATCATGAGTTTTATTGCACTTATGCGGTTATGCAAGTTCAGATTGTATATGAGTCCAACTTCAGACACATTTAATGTCACAATTTATTTTGGTTTGATTTGTCATAATAAAAAAATTTTTCATACAAAGACAAATTAAACTATTAATTCGTTAGAAAAAATTATAGGAGTTTATTTAGTTATAAAATTTATTTTTTTATAAAATGTTTTTAATTTATTGAAACGAGAAAAAAATTTACTTTACTGTTCAACTTGAAGAATTTTTCAATTTATTTTTTGAAATACTTTCCAAAATTTTTTAGAATAGAAATACCCTTAAAAATAAGTACATAATTAAATGCACAATTTATGTTATAAAAAATTTGTTCCAGTTTTATTAAAATAAATATATTTAATTTAAAGTACGAAAAATGTATTTTACTAAAAACATTTTATTACAAAATTCTTATTGTTTTTATTCATAAAGGTTATTTTCATTTTTAATTATGTCAATTGTTTTTTAAGCTGAATGCAGTTATGTTATTATGCTGGTCTCCTTTTGTCAAAAACGCAATTATGCGATTATGTTTTCCATTATTTTCTACATTAATAACCATTTTAATGATTTTTCAGCTATTGAACTTTGAAGAGCAATATTAAATATATACAAATCTGATGTTATCTCAAATTTGATAAAAATGTCAGTTATGCTGTTATGCCTTTCTTCCACAGAATTATAAATGTAAATGTCCAAGATATGAACAAAAATATAATAACCTAAAAAATAAATATTAAGTTAACACAAAAATGAACTTAGTAAATAATAACTTTAATAAACATTAAATACACACTATGTTACGTTTAACTATAAGAAATCTGACAAATGCAAATCAAGGTTTCCTACTATATAACTAATTAAAAAATCCAAGCTTTTTTCATGTCGATTGTCACAAAATTCTAATAAACTTTTAAATATGATGATTTTCACCGTTTTTACCTTATTTAAATTATAGACCAATGCACAATAGGTTCGCAAAAATCGTTGGAGACCGAGATGCATGAGATTGAAAAGGACACAAATATATACATAACTACCTACAAATAAATAATTTAAATGTTTAGGAAATTTTCACACTAAACATTTATTTAATCGGGACATTTAAATCTTTTCACAATTTTCACTAAACTTTTCAGTTAAATATGCCGAATATTACAAGTAAATATTTAATAAATTTTTAGGAAAATTTCGGTGTTGTGGGGGAAATTGTTCAATTTCAATTTTACAGCATAATGTATCAAAGATATACGATTTTTAATGTCGTGATGCATGGACAAAAATGTCCGCTTTTTCGTGGAAATGCCCAATAATTGATTTTTTCTAGGAATTAAAATTAAATTTTTAAGAATAATTACATTTTTTAAGCAATTCCTGCTAAAATTGTATTAAAAATAATTGAAATCCTGAGATGAATTTTATTATTTATGAATATAAATTGAATAGTTGTAATGAATTTTATTAAACATTTTTTTAAAGAATTGAATTCCTGTGAAGAATTTTCTTTAAGAAAATAATTGAATTCCGGAGAAAAATTTTACTATTTATGAAAATAATTCAATTACTGCGAAAAATTTTATTAAAATATTTCAAAAGAATTGAATTTCCAAGAAGAAATTACTTTTAAAAATAATTGAATCCTTGTGATGAATATATTGTTATTTATGAAAATAATTGAATTTTGCAAAGAATTTTATTAAAATGAATTTTCGGGAAGAATTTTATTATATTTTATCGACATAATTGAATTCTTTTAAAGAATTTTAGTATAAGTAATTGAATTATTATGAAGAATTGTATAAAAATTTTGTTAAATAATTGATTTTTTCGAAATTTTTTTGAAAATGCTGTTCTAAATTAATTGAATTCTTGTGGAAATTTTATAATTTTTTTGAAAATAATTGAATTTCATCAATTTTTTTTATTAAATAGTTGAATTCTTTTGCAAAATTTTATGAAAATACTGGATATTGAGAATATAATTGAATTTTGAATTTTTTTTTAAATATTGAATCGTTTTAAGGAAATTGATTATAATTGTTGAGAATAATTTTTTTATTTCTAGTATTAGCGAATTTAAATTAGTGGGAATTCTAAAAGAAATAGAAATAGTAGCTTTCAGTAGCTGAAATCTAATAAAATGAACCCAAATAGTAGTACAACGTAAAAAAAGTAGTAAATAGTAGGTTTCAGTACACTAAACTCTCGCTGTAATGGACTCGATTGTGATGTGGTCCATTACAGCAAGAGTACCCTTGAAGCAAGATCACAATAACATTCAGGGTCGTATGAAGTTTTAAAAAATAGATTCTAAATTTTTTTTTTAGTTTTTTTTTAATGCACAAATTTTTAACTAAAAACAAGTAATTAAGGAATGGAAACATAATTTTGGAAAATATTTTTCACTCAGGTTCGCGGACTTTTCAGATATTTACACTAAAAGGTTTTATGTGGGGGACAAATTTAGAAAATAATACTTTGTTGGTGGCGCTAGGTCGCCACCAACTAAATATATTTAGACGACATTTTTAAGATATTTTACTTTTAAAATTCGTCAACAAAAAAATCGATTATTTCAAATTAACTACGTGACATGAACCCATAATAAAAATAAGAAAAATAACAGTTATCTGCTTAAAAATATTTTTTACTTTTCTTCAGAAAAAATATACGTATAATTATGTTGTATACAATTTAAAATGTTTTAATGTAAATTTCATTTGTGTACAATTCTTAGACCTTCAGACGCTTTTGAGTTTTCGTTGAAGAATTTTTTAAAAAGAACGTATTTATTATAAAACATTTAACAAAATGGAAATATAAATTTATTATATTGTTCACAGGGTTACAGCAACACAAATATTAAAGTAATTAGACTTTCTCCGACGGAGGGGCTAAAGATCGATGTAATTTAGTAACTGCTGTTTGCACTATCTGTCGTAATGTTTCATCTTCTTTGCTGGTTACTTCAAGATTAATGAGATCAATGTGAGCTTTCTTTCCGTCAACAGTGACATAGAGTTTTTCACCTTTGAAAATTTTAGGTACAGAATCTTCGCCAAACATTTCTTGTAATAATTCTATGAGACATTCCTTGAAGTGCATTCTATCCATTTTTGTCGGTGCGGGTAATGTTTTAGGAAGTTGTTCCATCATTTCAGTTTGCAGCAAAGCAGTAAGCACCGAATCTGCGTACATGTCATTGACCGGCGTTGCAATCCACTCGAGCGTAACTATTTTTCCCTCCATATTGACGTCAATACTTTTAAAAACACGTAGTCTCTTATCGTCGAGAATTTCCAAATTGCCCGAAATTTGGGCCAGTAAATGCCGAAGCAGCGGTAATGAGGCGGAAAAATGAATACTTTGTCTTTGCAGAACTTGACTCATACTCATGTCGGTGTATTTTGATAAATCACTAGGCGCTAGCATGTGATAGTTGAAGTTTCTTTTCACCAGAACGCCGGACAATTTTTGACCGGATTTAGGTGTTTCCATAGCTAACGCTCCCATTACTTTCGATGTCTTCTCGCCTCTGAAATACAATTCGACAGCGACTGTATTTCTTGGATTATGAATTTCCATAGTTGTACTTGGATCGTCTTCGTATTCCCGTTGGAGGGCAGCTTTCAATCGACCCATTTCGTTCTGTTCGCCATGAACTAATATTACATGTGGTGGTTTTAAAGCTCGGACAAATTCTGAAGTTTGCTGATAATCCGTATGAGCTGAGAAAGAAATATAATCAACTGATATTTTCAAGGGTAATTTCTGTCCTGACATTGTTGTAATTTCCTCAGGTTCGGAAAGAATTGCCTTCGCTAAAGTACCTTCAACACAATAACCAGCGATAATAACACCGTTCTTCGAGTCAGTGCACCACGATTCAAAGAGTTCACGCGAAAGTCCACTTTGCATCATTCCAGGCGACGCCATCACAACACAGGGACCAATGTCATCGAAATGATCAATACCCTTCAAATTCGATATATGCTTAAACACAAACGGATTATTTATTGCAATCTGCCTGCGAATCTTATCGTTCATTGCATTCACGTACGTTTGATAAACTGCCATACATTTCTTCGCGAGCGATGACGCGTAATAAATCGGTATCTCCTGCAACTCGGGATGCTGACTCCAGTATTCGTCCAAAATAAGCAGTAACTCTTGCGCTCTGCCGAGTGCAAATACCGGTATTAGACATCGACCACCACGCGTTACAATTTCACTCACTAAACTTGTAAATCTTCCTTCACGATCTTCCCGTTTTTCATGAATATGCGTTCCGTATGTTGATTCAGTGATGAGAACATCGGGATGAACGTTTGGTATTTCAGCGGCCATTAAATGTCTATCTTCTTGACGACTAAAGTCTCCGGTGTAGAGAATTTTCACACCGGCAATTTCGATCATAAACATAGCAGCTCCCAATACATGACCTGCGTTATACGCCCAAAATTTAACTCCAAAAATATCTTTTTCTTCGTGAAAATTTATTGTCTCTATTTTATCCATACTCGCTTCTAAGTCCGACTCTGTGTACAACATTTGTTCTGTTGCTATATTGCTGACCTGAAATTATACATTTAAATTTATTATGAATAAACCAATTCACTTAAACAAGATTATTTAACGAAAAATTAAAAATTTAGAGATATATTTCAAGATTTAGAAATTTTTTATTTTACTTAACATTACAGGGTTGTCACGCTTTTGCTCTTTTTAAATTCCCTGACTTTTCCAGGTTTTTCAGGTTACATAACTGAATTTTTCCAGATTTTTAAAACTACATTTATATTTTACCAAAATAAATAACTCCCTGATTCCCTGACAAAACTTTGACTTTTTCCCTGTCTCTAAAGAATATTCTGATTTATTCGGAAAATGATTAGATGCACAAAAAAAATGTTCTATTACATTTATTTACGAATTTCTTTAATTAGAAAATTATTCGAAAACATCAATAACTTCATTTTTAAATAAATATTTAATCATTATTAGTTTTACATAGAAGTTAAAATTATTTTCAAAAATTTCAAATTCAATGACATATAAGAATATTATTATAAAACATGAAAAAAAGCGATCACTCCGAGTCGAAGACTCGGTGTGATCGATCTTCTTCAAAAATTATTTTCATCATTACGATTATTTATTGATACAATTTTCAACTAAAATTCTTCTTTAAGTCAATTATTTTTTAATAATTTTTGAAAAAGTTATTTAAGAATTTTCAAATCCTTTTGTTAACAATTTAATTTTAATAAATTTCGATTATTCTGACAATTTTCAATTAAATATTTATTAAAAATTAAAAACTTTAAATAATAATTAAAAAACAATTCCATTAAACTTTTTGAAAAAAATTAATTCTACAAAATTCTTAATTACAAGTATAAAAAGTTCAAATTTTCAAAGATTTTAATTGGAAACCTTTTGAAAATTCAAATATTTCTAAAAATTCACGTTATAATGCCTTTAATATTCAATTATTACCTAAAATTTTAACTGAAATTCATTTTTAAATCAATATTTATTAGAAATTCTACGAGAATTCAATTATTTAAATACAAAAATAAATATTTTATTAAATAATTAAATGTCTCTTAAAATTGAATTTTTATAAAGAATTTTATCAACAAATTTTAATACAATTTTTAAGAATAATTTCATTTTTCCAGAAATTTGATGAAAATTGTATAAAAAATAATTGAAATTCTGCCAAGAATTTTATTAAAATTTTTGGAAATAATTTAATTCTTTTAAGAAATTTAATTAAAAATGCATTGAAAATAATACTTAAATTCAAATAAATAAATTGCAGCGAAGGTTTTTAAAATACTTGAATTTCTTTTATGAATTTAAATAAAATTTTGAAGAATAATTATATTTTATGAAGAATTCAATCAAAATTATATATTAAAAGTATTTTAATGTCTGCGATGAGTTTTATTATTTATAAAAATAATTGAATTCTTGTGAAATTTTTATTATTTATGAAAATGATTAAATGTTTTCGTAGAATTCGACTATACTTTTGAAAATAATTGAATTTCTGTAATCATTTGTAATTGCTTTAAAATTCAATTTCTTTTAGTGTTTTTAACTAAAATTCTTCTGTAAATCCATTATTTTTAATAATCAATTAAATACATATTAAAAAATTTAAGTAATTTCAGAAGAATTTGAATTATTAATGTTTTTCAAAAATCTACGTTCTTTAAGATTTCTAATTAAATTCATTGAAGATTGAAATTTTACAATATTTCAAATCAAAATCTTTTGAAGTTCATCTACTTGTGAAAATTGTAAACACAACTCTTTTAAGATTGAATTAATTTTGAAATATTTAAGTAAAATTAGATTTCAAGAATAAGCACAATAACTTTAGAAAACAACAATTGAGGAGGTCAATCAAATAACTCGATTTACGCTCGGCTGAAATGCTGAGAAGCCAGTCAGTCGGGTCGAAAGTGAGAAAAATGAAAACTCAAAATTTTGGTTTTTAAAGAACGGCATCTTGTAGATAACAAAAAAATACATCTTTTTTCTTAATGAATTTTTTTTGTAGAGCTAATATTTCTCATATTAAAAAATAAAAACCAAAAAATTTGTGTTTAGAAATATAATTAAGTTTTAAAATACAAACGGTCTTTTTGCATACAAAATGTTAATGAATTTGCTCGGAATTTTATGTACATACTCATTTGGGTCTGCTGAAACAGAAAAAGTCATAAAACATTTTAAAATTATTTTTTGTTTAATTGTTTTTTATTATAAACAATGACCTGTCAGAAATAAGGTTATCTTATTTTCGATGAGAAAAAGTATCGAGGAAAGTTTTGAGTTGAACAAACTTCCAGTGAGAAAGTTGTTCTATATTATTCAACGAAGTTTTTCTGAAAATTTCAAATAAATTTGTTTAAAAATAACAAAGTTATTTAATTTTTAAAAAGTCCCTGCCGCGTCACTCATACGCCACAAGAGACAGCGCCTTAACTTAGGCAATGTGGTGGCAATCTACTAGCGACAGCTATAGGTTGTTAATTTATTTTAACAATTTTTTTATGTAAACATGGTTATTTCATGTTTAATCTAATAATTAGAATGTTGTTAATATTATTGACAAAGTTTAAAAATGTTGTAAAAATGGTTAGAAAAAACATAAAGGTTTTTATTTTTAAAATTACTTTAAAATTAATGTTTTCTAATCGGATTTTAAACATTTAATTTATTATATTATTAATAATAATACATAATTTTTAGGAGGGGATGAAATAACCATGTTTACATAACAAAAATTGTTAAAATAAATTAACAACCTATAGCTGTCGCTAGTAGATTGCCACCACATTGCCTAAGTTAAGGCGCTGTCTCTTGTGACGTATGAGTGACGCGGCAGGGACTTTTTAAAAATTAAATAACTTTGTTATTATTAAACAAATTTATTTGAAATTTTCAGAAAAACTTCGTTGAATAATATAGAACAACTTTCTCACTGGAAGTTTGTTCAACTCAAAACTTCCCTCGATACTTTTTCTCATCGAAAATAAGATAACCTTATTGCTGAAAGATCATTGTTTATAATAAAAAACAATTAAACAAAAAATAATTTTAAAATGTTTTATGACTTTTTCTGTTTCAGCAGACCCAAATGAGTATGTACATAAAATTCCGAGCAAATTCATTAACATTTTGTATGCAAAAAGACCGTTTGTATTTTAAAACTTAATTATATTTCTAAACACAAATTTTTTGGTTTTTATTTTTTAATATGAGAAATATTAGCTCTACAAAAAAAATTCATTAAGAAAAAAGATGTATTTTTTTGTTATCTACAAGATGCCGTTCTTTAAAAACCAAAATTTTGAGTTTTTTTTTTTGTTTTATAATTTTAACTGCAATTAAAGTTTTTTATCAACAATTAAATATTTCTTTGTATAAAATTTAGAATTTGATTAGTTGGCCCACATATTTTTGCTAAGTCGTTGACTGACTGGGTCAATTGAAGAAGTCAATTAACTAAATCATTCTGCGCTCGTCTGAACGCTAAGAAAATATTCAGTGGTATGATAAAATGAAAAATTAGAATCTAAAAATTTTCATTTTTTGAAAACGGTACTTTGAAGAGAATATTAAAATACAATTTCTTACGATATTTTTCAATTTACCGTTTTAAACCTTAATTAATTTTTAAGTTTTTAAGTTATTAATTTTTATTATGAAAAAAATATTTATTTTATTGAAAAAAGTAATTAACCTTAAATACGCTTAAAAACTTTGAGACAAATCGTTAACTTCTCAAGGTTTAAATAAAATTATTCACAACTTAAATAATTTTTTTAGAAAAATGATAAATTAATAATTATTTCAAATAAATATTTACTATTATTACAGTTTTAGAATAAATTAAAATTTTCAAATATCAAATCTTTTAATGTTAAATTATTTCCAAAAATTCATACTAAAATAACGTTTTTAATATTCAATTATTATCTGAAATGTTAACAAAAAAATAATTGGTAGAATAATAGAAGATTTTTAAAATTGAATTCTCATAAAGAATTTTATCAAAATTTTTGAAAACAATTGAATTCATTCGGAGAATTTTTTTTAAAATTTTGGAAATAATTGAATTTTTTGAATTAAAGGGACTTTCTGGTTCAGAATTGGTAAAAACACACTTTGTTAAATTCTTACTGTTAAATATGTATTATAGTTAATGCAAAAATTCTTTTTTATTACAAGAAGAAAATTAAACAATTTTTTTGAATATTTTTAGTTCAATTTCGCAGCTGTAAGTTGGGACTTCCAAAGGTACCTTTTATTCGGGGAGACAATTTTTGGGCAACCCATTTTACATAAATTAAAAATTTAAATGGAATTCTCTTCATGAGGGTTTTTTCTAGACAAAAAACCTCAAAACCAATGTTTTTAATATTTAACAATTTATTTTTAAGAATAATTTTTTTATTTGAACTAATAGAGGATGTAAAGTAGTGCAAATTGGTTGGGGTATAGTTTTTTTAAAACGTATTTTCTAATTTTTTATTTTCCAAAACTTTTTTTTTTCTAATAAAGATGAATTTCTAAAATAACTTACTGTTTTCTAATGAAGGTGATTTTCTAATTTTCTTTCTTCAAATAAAGGTAATTTTCAAATTTTTTTTCCTAACAATATTCAATTTTTGTAATGACGATCAATAGATATATGATTTAAAAATAGAATTTATGAAAATTTTTCAATTCTTTAAAAAAAAATTCTGGAAATTTCGTTAAAAAATTGTAAGGAAAAATATAAATTATCCAAATTTTTTAACAAAATTTAAAAATAATCTAGTTAAAAATCGTAATTAATAAATGGAAATTATAGGGATTTTTTTCCAGAAGATATTTAAAATTTTCCAAAATAAATGTTTTATAAATATATTAATTTTAGAAATTTTGGTATAAAAATGCTGCAAATTATTATTTCTTTTTTTCAAAGAAGAACAGAATTTTTTTTAAATGGTGATAAGAAATAGGAATTTTATAAAAATTTTTCTTTTTCAAATAGAAACTCATAATTTTGTAAACAGAATTGTGATTGAGAAGCAGAAAATGTACAAAATAGTTTCTATTTCCTAATCTTAATTTTTTAACAGTTTTCTAACTTTTATCAAAATTATCGAATTTTACAAATTTCAGGAAAATAAATATTAGAAATCAAAACTTGTTAGAAAAATGTTTTTTAGAAAGCAGATTTCATTAGAAATCGCTTTTTAGACAAAAGGGATTATAATTATTTTTTAGAAAAAATGACCACCTACCATGCAAATTTTCAATAAAAAGGAAAGCTTTTAGTATCACAAATAAAAAAAAAGTAGCAAATTGTAAAAAAAAAGTTGTAAATAGTAGGTTTTAGTAGATGAGCGCGAAGCCGGCAGAAAATTTTTTCTTTTATGTTTAAATTATATTATATAAAGTATTTATTTTATATTTATTGCAATTAAAAATTGAATTTTATAATTAATTTATAAAATAATGCACCAACCTTAATATAGTCAGACAATAACCATCTGTAAATTGCTTTGGTAGCATGGGTCATAAAGCAGCGGCCTTTGAAGCTCGTCTTTTGTAAAAACCATGGTAATGCTCCACAGTGGTCAAGATGAAAATGTGAAATCAACAGCAAGTCTATTTCGTCAGCTTCAATTAAATCTACAAATGGTAAAGCGTCCATTCCTGTTAGACCCGGGTGAATGCCGCAATCCAACATTATTTTCTTCCCTTTGAAGTCCAACACTATGCATGATCTTCCAACCTCCTGGCCAGCTCCTAGAGGTCGAATTGACATTAAGTCACTCTCCTCTGCAGGAACTTGGACATCCAACTTCCTCTTCAGTGACATTTTTAGTTTTTCTTATTTATTTTTCGCATTCGTCAAACAAAATTCATAACACTTTCGTTTCTGGTCAGTTTAAATGCCATATACATTGAAAATGTGACATCTTCAAAAAGTTAGGTTATTCAAAACAAATTAAATATGTTGCTTGCTACTTCTTTAAGGCCTAAGCACAATTACGGCGGTGTACGTAAGGCCTAGCACACAACTTGTCAGCTACGTAAAGGTGCATTTACACCTTCTGTAAAAATTGTCCAGAAAGGAAAATTTGCATTGGAGTAAGAGAGTCAGATATACAGTCTGTCTCTCTTACTCCAATGAAAAATGTTCCGTTCTGAAAATTTTTACCGAAGGTGTAAATGCTTCCTAAACGTTTTCCGTTTTAACGCTGATGGAGCGCGTTTAAGGCCTTTCTCCAATAGGATCCAAAAACTCTGCGTTTGTCTGCGAATGACTGCGTTGCGTTGATTTTAGCATGTGTTGCTATAGCAACCGACGCAGACACAGAGTTTTGGGAACCTATTGGAGAAAGGCCTTTAACCTGCCTCTACAATACGAAAAAAAAGTGAGAAACGCGCGACGCAAACGCGAAACGCGAGAAAAATACATGGCAATTTCTCGCGTTTCGCGTCTTACTTTCTAATTGTAGATACAGCTTTTGGGTGGAGTCCCATGACAGCGTTTTGCGTTGCGTTGTAATGGGAGAGAAAAAGACGCAAATATATGTTTGCTGCATTCTCTCTCATTACAACGCAACTCAAAACGCTGCCATGGGACTGCGGCCTTACACCTTCGGTAAAAATTGTTCAGAACGGACAATCCACATTGAAGTAAGAGAAACAGATATACAGCCTGTCTCTCTTACTATAATATAGATTTTTCATTCTGAACAATTTTTACCGAAGGTGTAGTAAATGCTCATTAGCATTGTTACGTTACGATTACGTTCGTAATCGTAATTCGTAATTGGTTAAACGTTTTCCGTTTTCACGCTTTGACGTCTTTGTCTTCTTTTTACATGTAACGACACCTTTATATTCCTATGATCAAAAATCGGTATGAATCCCCCCTTAGGTTTCTATTGGAGACGCACCATTAGGCCTTTTAACAGAAAGCATGTTTATGTTTATATTTTGCTTATTTTTATGATGAAGTAAAGTTTTTGTATTTAGAACATTTTTTTGTGAAAAATGAGTGATGCAGAAGCTCAGGAAGAGGAACGAGAAGCTTTACTTTCAATATATGATGGAGATTTAGCTTTTAAACAACTAAATGCAACTACGTACCAGTACAAAGTATTTTACTTCTTTTCAATTCTTATTTTTTATTATTAATGTTCTTATTTATTCTTAAAAGCTTGTGTAGATTTGCTTGATTTGTTTATTTATTTATAATGCAACGTTTAAATAGATCTAAAAATCAGTGTTAAAAATTAGGAACTAATATCCTAAATACATGAATTCATTTTCATTGCTACTCACTAGTTAAATTTTACACGTGAAGAGCATAAGTAATAAATTTTGTAGCACAATTGAGACATTCAATTTGAAAACTATTCCTCTTGTAAACAATTGCCAATGTAAGTCAATTTTTAAATAACTATTTCTCCTATTTAACAAAGCCGAACTTTATTTACTGTTAGTCGTTTTAAAAGATGAATTTCTGAAATTTGCAAATAGAAAAAAAAATTTTTTCATAATATAAATTTAATAGGTATCAATGTTTTTAAAACTTATGTCAAAATATCTAAGTGAAAATAATTCATATAAAAATTGTTCAGAATTCGTGTTAAAACGCCGATAAGAATTCGTTCTAATTTGAAAGTAATTCGGGCGAATTCTATTTACTAAGTTTTTCGAAAGGAGTGCTGGTTGTAATTTTTGCTATCAATTTTTTTTTCAAAAATGTACCACTTTTCAGTACGTATTTTGTAAGACATTAGTGCAAATTACTAATGAATTAATTTAATGAATATTTCAAAAATTCCGCTTGGAATTCAAGAAGAATTGAACAAATAATTTAAACTAATTTTTGTTTTGCAAATTGCGCCATTTTACCAAACAAATTTCGTACGATATTTGTGTGGAATTCTTTTCGATTTTTTAGCGAAATTTTAAAAAAAATTTACTAAAAAAAAATATTTAGTAATTCGCACGAATGCCGTAAGAAATTCGTACAGAGAAAAGTGGTACAATTAAAAATATTCATCAACTAATTTTTTTTTGAATTCTTATTAAATTCTTATCGGAACTTTTAAAAAATTTACTAAAAAAATTTGTTCGTAATTCTCACGAATATTGTATGATATTTGTACAGAAAAGTGGTCCAACTTTCAAAAGAATTACAGCAAAAACTCATTATTACTGAGTTATTCCATTATGTTTCGAGTAAAGTGGCTCTGAAAATTCACTTTTTATGTAACAGAATTATTAATCAATCTTTTATGTCCGATAAATATTAATTATAGATGAAGAAAAGTAAACGAAAACAGTCGGATAATTAGTTTTTAAAAAATATTGGTTTACTCCAACTTTTCAAAATCTAAATGATTTCCTTTTCAAGTAGGTTAAAAAAATATAAAGTAAATAATATACAAAATTTTTTTTTAACATTAAAAAATCAAATTAAAATTATCATTAATCAATCAACATTAAAAAATCAGTCAATCATTAAGTGTAATAAGTAACAAAATAAACAAAAATAACAAAACGTCAGAGAAAACATAGAGTTTGGAGTCATAACTAAAATAAATGACTAAATAAGAATAGAAATTATAAATAAATAATCATAAATATTTAAAAAAAAATTAATTTTCCGACTGATTTTGTTTTTTTTCCTTTATCTGTGTAATTGAAAATGTTAAAGAAAACATATTGGGTCATTTGGGGTCAATATAAACAAGAGGTAATGTAAACAGTTGATTTTTCAGATTAATTTGAAGATTACAGGTCTAATATATTTTACATAATATTTTCGAAAATTTGATTTTTTATGTTATATGATGCGTTATCAGTCAGCTGGTACACTATTAAACAAATAAGATATAAAATTTTTTGATAAATATTAAAAATCAGACCCGTAGCAACAGTACTTCGGGCCCCTTTAAAAAAATTGCTTTTGCGGTGGTCAATATATCTTTTGACTGCTTCATCCAAAATCAAAATTGAAAAAAATTTTCTGTTAGTGAGTGAATATATCCCGTGATTGAACGAAGGATTTTTAAAGAAAGAGAAAATTTGATTCTTGACAGTGTCTTTTGTGAAAAGTTACCATTTTGAGAACCATTAAAAGACCATGTAAAATCGGTTCTCATCAACACCAAAAGAACCCTTAGTTCAATCACGAACTATATTCACCTATTAACAGAAAGTTTTTTGTTTTTTGATAGGTATTAGATGAAGCAGCCCGAAGAACTGTTGCTACGGGTCTGATTTTTAATATTTTTTATCAAAAATTTTATTTCTTACTTAGTTACTTATCTAATTAAGTAATTTTAGATACCAAAGTGTTCAAATAAAAAAATTTATTTATTTATTTTATGTATACAAAGTTATTTAACAAACATACGTTTTCTGGTCGTTTTGACCCACGTCACCCCTTAAACTCATCAGTGGTTTTTCTTATTCCTGTGCTCTTGCTAACTGATGTCATTGCTTGTATCAATTGCGTTTCATTCACTGTCTTATGTTTTCTTTCCGTTTGCATCGCACCCAAACGATTGACATGAGTTCTCAATGTTTCGAAATTCAAGTTAAAATCTTTCGCTGTTTTCAAAATCGCGTTTCCTTTTTGCATAGTTTCAATCGCTTTTGCCAAAATTTCTTGGTCAACAGGCTTTGTTTTTCGTTGATAATTTATTACAAATCATTAATCAGACCTCCCACACTGAAAAAAAATTTAATTGATATTATTGATATTATTGGAGTCAATTAACAAGGTTTTTGGTTCAAATACTGAAATTAATGATTCAAATACCATTTAATTGACTCCAATAAATAGTATTTGATCCAATTAAATATTTAATTGATAATAGTCAAGTAAACGGTTATTTGAATCAAATAAATTTTTTTTCAGTGCACTCATGCCACTATTGACACTTTTTAGCATTCTGTGTTTCCTGACTTGAACATTGCTCGAATCTTTTCATTAGGTCCTACGAAACTGAATAACATTGTAACTAAAGTTCTATTTCCACATTTTCAAGAAATTGTGATATCTGACGTTCAGCAAAGTAATGGGTACACTATTTCGTTTCACAAAACAACAAATGCGGAAAGTATAAGATATTCGCATAAGATATTTTTCTAAAAGGAGACAAGAAATTGTAGATCATCATTTAAAAACTATTTTTTAGGATCTGCTACTGGTGAAATTTCAACTTAACATTTAACTGATACTCTGAAAGAATAAGATCTTCTATTAAATGAATTGTAAATGACAAGCTTTTAATGAAAAAGTACTTGAAATTCGAAGAAAAGGTCTTTTGAAGGTAGGCACGTGTAATCTCTATATTGTTGATAATGCATTAACTAAAGGTCTTAGTGAATTTGGCGACTAATGTAGCGATTTGGTCACGAAAGTATTTTACTTTTTTCACAGTCGACCTGTACGACTAGAATTTTGAAAAATTTTGAAAAAGTGCAATTGAAACTCGAGCTGCCATTACACCGATTTATAAAACATTCAACTACTCAGTGGATTACATTAAAATCAAATTATTTACGTGTAGTTAAACAGTTTTCAGCTCTGAAAGAATATTTTTTGCAACATATTCCTGGTCAAAAGGGATTTGATAAATTAGCAGTTACACAGCATTATCAGTCTATTAGGCAGTATCTCCTACAAAATGATATGATAGCGAAGCTTTATTTTGTTATTAACAGTGCTATGCTCTTCAAAGGTTTTTCAGTTTTATTTCAAAAAGAAGAGCCGCAGAATCTTATTTTATTCGATAAAATTAAACAGCTACTAGTTACATTAACAGGTTGTATTTGCAAAGTCACAAGTATTGAAAGATTAAAAATACTTTAGAAGCAGAAAAACTCTTTGAATCGCCTCATTTAATAGATGTAGAGTCAATCATTCTTAATTCTCAAACAAAATCATGTATGAAGGATTTAAGTCAAAAGGAAATATTATTATTTCGAACAAACGTGAAAAATCCTTACAAAGCTGTAGCGAAACACATTTTATCTAAATCTTCTTTGCAAGCTCTTCCACATTCAAGCCTACAAATGATATGAGATGTTTACAACCTTCCAGGATTCAAAGAAAAAGTAGTGTACCTGCTATAGTAAATATTTCTGAAAAATTGCCTCTCAAAGATGTTTCGGTTTCTTTTCTTGCAGATGAATGGAAATTATTACAAATTGAACTGTTGCCAAATTTTGAAAATTCAACACGAGTAGATCATTAATGGACAAAATATGTTTTAAGTGCGATACATAACACAACTCCGATATCAGTTTAAAGTTTCCGATGGTATCCAAAGTCGTGGAAATCTGTTTAACTATCTACCATAGCAACTCAGATGTCGAACGTAGCTTTTCGAAATCTCGAAGAATTGTAATTGAAGATAAAGCAGCTATAAAAGAGCGGACCCTGAATGCGCGATTAGCAATCAGTTTTGTTTCTCTACCTTTTGAGGTTTACTTTCGCACAATGTTTATTAAATGATACTACAAAGTCTATCACGGTGGGCATCGTGAATTGCGTAAACAAGCACCTCAAAAAATGTACCAAATCAAATTTATTTCAATTTTCATGAATGTACTACAGTATTTTGGATCGCAGAATCTGAATTTGATGTTAGATTTAAAAATTTCATAATGGCGGATCCAATATGGCGACCAAAAAGTTTAAAAATTGTTTAGATCCGCTTGAATCTAAATAACTAATTTTAAAATTATTTGAGTATATGTCTTGTGAATTCTGGATCTAAGGTTTTACTAAAACATGCTTTGACCACTAGTTTGAAATGACTGAGAACCCGCAGAAATTTCATACATCCAAAAGGGCAAATACTGTGCAAAATATCTAAATTATCTAATAATTTTTTACAGGAATTCCCATTAAAGCCTGCACCACTATGCGTAACATCTCGATTAACATTACACATTTTTGTTCAAGATATAACTGTTTCCTCGAATTTACTTGACATATGATTAACTAAACCATTTACTACTCCCAGTAATAAATGAAGTTCAGGTGGGGCCATTATGTCATTTTTAGATAAATCTCTTTTTCCCCCCGAGCTGACCCATTTATCATAATTCTCAGTTATACTTTTAATTGT